ATTTTTATTTTATGTGTATGTGTGTATTGCCTGCATGTAGGTAAGTGCACCTGTGTCATGCAATGCCTGGAGGACAGGAGAGGCTGTCGGATCCCCTGGAACTGGAGTTATGGACAGTTGTTAGCTGCCATGTGGGTGCTGGGATTCAAAACCAGGTCTTCTGAAAGAACAGCCAGTGTTCTTAACCACTGAGCCATCTCTCCAGGCCTGGAGATTTTGTTTTCTAATACATCAATTTTTGCTTTCATCTTTATCAGTGCTAACCCCATCCCACTGGCTTGTTTTCTTATTCTTGGTCTTGCTTTTTGAGTTTCTGGCTTGCTGACTTAAATTTCTTTCTTTCTGTCTAATGATAAAGCATTTTTTTTTAATTTTAGAATGTTATTATTCCAAAGAGAGGCAATTTTTAGCACATTTTTCCAGAAATAGCTTGGAGGTTACATAAAAAATATAGACAATGAAGTTTAAGGGGAGAAAAATAGGACTAAGAAATCGAAGACCAAATGATTTGCCAACATGGGGTCAACTTTGGTGGAATAATGAAGGTTTCCCTTTGCCCTTTTTTTTTTTTTTTTTTTTTTTTAAATCCTAACTAGTTTATTGGGCTTGCTAACAGAGCATAGGGTGGGGGTTTATTTACAGAAGACTGGGTGCCTCCCCCCCATTTTTGGCTGCAGTGGAAAGTCCACATTCATGATTAAAGCATTTTTATCCCAGGCATTTTGCTTTGAGAACAATTGGGCCCTGTCTAGAACATTCTGGATGGTTTTCCACATCCATAATTCTCAATAGGCTGCAACTGCTTGTGAAGATGGCCTAGCTAGCCCACTACCCACCCCAAGTCCTGCTGTCCAGCCCTCTTTGTGCCTTTGAGAAACTGGATTCTATTCATTGTTTATTAAAAAATGTTTGTAGGAGACAAAGATTTAAAGCTGGGCATGGTGACACATGCCCTTAATCCCAGCACTCTGGAGGCAGAAGCAGGTGGATCTCTGTGAGTTCAAGGCCAGCCAGGTCTACATAGCAAGTTCCAGGCCAGCTGGAGCTACAGGGAGACCCTGTCTCAAAAACAAGACCAAAAAAAAAAAGTGCGGAGAGATGGCTCACCCTTTAAGAGCACATACTGCAGTTCCTAGCACCCACATCAGACCACCCACAACCCCCTATAACTCTAACTCCAGGGAATCTGATACCCTCTTCTGGCCACCACCAGCAACTGCACTCATGGGCACATGCCCCTACACACAGATAAATAAAACATCTTTTTATGGTGTGTTCTCCCTTCAGCAGCACATATCCTAAAATTGGAAGGATACAGAGTTTAGCACAGACCCTGTGTAAAGATGACACAAAAATTCATGAAGCATTCTTATTTGTTTGTTTGTTTAAGACAGTGTCTCCCTGTAGCCACCATCTGGCCTGGAACTCGCTATGTAAACTAGGCTGGCCTCACAGAGATCTGCCTCTCACAGAGATCCAGCTGCCTCTGCCTCCCAAGTGCTAGGATTAAAGGTGTACACCACCATACATGGCCATATTTTTTTAAATAAAAATTTTAAAGGGTTTGGAAGTATAACCTCAAGCCAGCTCCCCACATACCAGACAGCCATTCATCATTTAGCTTTGTTGAAATAGATTCAGGAGCCACAGGGGCAGCCACGTGCTAGAGACCTGCCTTCCTACCACCCAGGGTTTCTCAGTCTCAGCCTGGTGACACCATGGGCCGAGCAGGTCTCTGCTATGGGTTATCTATGTGTGAAGGCAGTTGAGCAAGCAGCCCTGGCCTCTCTCTACCCAGAGTGTTGATAGAGCACTTTCTCAGAGACCACCCAAGTTATGACAATCAAAAATGTCCCAGAGCAGCCCCTTTGCCCAGAATACAAGCAAAGCTCCACAGTTCGTAAAGAAAGGACACTGTTCTTTCAAGTGATCCTTTCTCCACACCGTGTGTGTGTGGCAGCACACAGCCTGACCAAGCAGCACAGTTTGCTTCTGGGCAAAGTTCAAGTGCTGAGGGTCCACAGAAGGCTACGGTGCTGTGATCAGTTGCCACCATGACCCGGGAGAAGTTATTGACCTCTTTGTGATTCAGTTCCTTTATTTGGGAAGTAGAAACAGTAGGAGGCCTGAATCATTGGGCCATCATGAGGAACATGTGATATAGCACATGTCAACAGTAACATAGTCACCTGTGGTAAACACATTCTTGTGATTATTGTACCCTTAATTAGTAATGGCTAAAAATCTGGAAACCGGGGCTTGAGAGATGGCTAAGCAGTTAAGAGCACTGGCTGCTCTGGCAGAAGATCTGGGTTTGAGTTCCAGCATCCACATGGTGGCTAACAACCATCTGTAACTCCAGTTCCAGAAGAATACAACACCCTTTTCTGACCTCCATGGGCACTTACACACATGCAGGCAATACACTCATACACATAAAAATAATAATAATAAAACATTTAGGGTTTTTTGTTTCTTTTAAACCAAAGCTTGACCAACAGATTCCCACCTCAGATATAAGGGCTATTTATCTATTGGTGACACCACATTCATTTAACCTGGGTACAGCAAGATTCCTATTAATCAGTACTGAAAAGAATAAACACTGGCTCTCAACTGAAGTTTTCTCTATTACCTTAGAAACATTTTAGGTACTTTTTAAAAATTTTAATAATTACATGATTAGAAGAAGCATTTCATTACAGCTTTAACATATTCAGTAACACACTCCAGAGCAAGAGTACATCTCTTTCACAAGTGGCTGTAAGTTTCTAGGTTCACAGTTGAATTAATACAGTTATACAACATTGAACTCAGTATAAGCCCTGTAAGATACTTTTAAAAACTATTTTGCTTTTGATAGTTAAACAGTTGATTTTTTAAATCATTTATTTAATAACCACATACTTAGAAGAAGCATTTCATTACAACAGCATTGACATGGTCAATAACAATTTTCTGAGTATTACATCCATCTTTTTCAAAATTGGCTACAAATTTTTAGGTTTACAGCTGAATTATTAAAGTTATACAATATGGTGCTCAGTATAAACCCTATACGACATCAAATTAAATGAGGTTTTAACCTTTAAAAAAGAT